CCTGGGTATATCCTCGATGCTGCCCAGACACCTCCAATGCCATCCTCCCTGTCGATGATAGTGATATCTGCAGAGGGGTTAATCTGTAGGTATGTTTTCGCAGCAACTATGCCGTAGAAGCCAGCACCAACAATGATCACCCTTCTTCTGGGTCGATTCGTAAATGCCATTTTTGCAACTCACTCTGGGAGAAGCACGCGAGTGTGGAAGATGTGAGAGAAAGGATTTGAAATGCCATTTTTATTTCCGTGTGCCCGAGTATATATATGCTGAACGGAAGGGAGGGAAAGTCCATCGCATTAGATACGATGCTCCCAATGAGCAAGCTACAGCCATAACCAGCTAGGAACTAAACGCGTCTTCCTAAAGGGAGCATTTCGTGGAGATAAATTCTCACGTCAGAGTCTCGTCGCATGAAGCACCCAATCAGAAGCTGGGATGGCCATCAACCCATCGGAACTGTATCTAACACAACTTGATACATAGCTCTGGGACACTTGCTAGAGGCTCCTCAGTTATGACGTGTCTGGATTCGGTGAAGCTTGTCCTTTAGGGAGGAAGTTGCGAGTTGGGTGAACAGGTTCTGTAGGTGTAGTCGGCGTCATTGACGTGAGGCTCCGTGCGTCGCGAAAAAAAGACACTGGCGAGAGAGAGCCTGCAAGCCTCGCCGAACCTCAACTTCAACCAGCCCATCGCGCCTTCCAACAAACACCCATCTGCACCTTCCCGCAACACAAACAAAATCCATCAAGATGGCCGACACAGAGATGGAGCTCGATACGCCTCTCTCCCCAGAACAAAAACTCGAAGACAACAGCACCCCCTCCAAGAACACCGCCATGACCACACACTCGAACGCGACCGCCGTCCGATCGATCGAGGGCTGGATCATCATCGTCACGAATGTTCATGAGGAGGCTAGTGAGGAAGATCTGAATGATTTGTTTGCGGAGTTTGGAGAGATTAAGAATCTGCACTTAAACCTGGATCGGAGAACTGGTTATGTTAAGGTTTGTGCTTTTCTGTCTGGACAATATCACCTTTGTCGCACAGCTTCAATGCGCATGATGTTCAGAGGGGGGAGAGATTCGATTGAGAACATAGATTGACATGTAGTGTGCGATAGGGCTACGCATTGATCGAGTACCCAACTCTAGACGAGGCGCGCAAGGCAATCGACGGAGCGCATAACACGAAGCTATTGGAACAGACCATCGAGGTTGATTTCGCATTCGTTCGACCACCACCAAAGGAGAAGGGAGGCAGAGGTAGTGGACGTCCACCTCCGAAGGGAAGAGCCAGAAGCCGGAGCCGCAGCCCAGGTGGAAGGGACGATGATATTGATTGAGTGAAGGGAGAGATGGAAATATGATCATGGATCTGGGCATTGCTGCGTGCGTGTGGCTGCCAGCCGATGTGTCTGCCCTGAAGACATATCGGCGTGTGTACTTGGGTGTCATTGGTAAGTTGGGCTGACTTTTTTGGTCGAGACAGCAGTCGCTGATGTTTTGCAGAGCCTTGATATCAAAAATTGACAGCCTACCTACGAGAATCCTCCATGCAAAGTGCGATTGACAGCATTGACCATACTTCAGACGAGTGGCGGGTGTTAGCCATTTGTGATTGAATACTATAGACAGGTACGAGATTTCGAACCACATTACATCGAACAGGAGTCGCACCGCACCCAAGCGATTTCAACGTTCACAAGCAACCTGAATGATATTCGTTGTCTTTATGTTCGTTCTGTTCATTCTACTATCTACATGCTATGCTTGAAAAGGGTGGTTGAGAAGACAGTGTACAAAGTGTGCACCTACAATCTGCCACAGCTATCCCGACCACAAGTCCTCGTACATTGGTTACTTGCCGGCCTTCCAGATGTTCCACTCGGGGATACGAAAACCCTTCTCCTGACAATTTGCGTTTCTCGAATGACCAAAACGACAACGAGCTATCCAGCCATTCTGAGAAAGTCTTTAGGTCCCATGACTCGAGCTACGTGATATTTGCCTTTCAGACAATGGTATATCTCAATCTCTTCACCATTGTCCCAGACTCTGGTGAAAATCGAGCCAAGTTCGTTGCGTTGCCGTCGTGGGTCATAGCTCCATCAAGCCATACTGGTGCTCCAAAAGCTGTGCTTATCTCGCTGAAGATCCGAAACGCAACGGTCCATTGGTTGGCGCCGAATGAGATGCCTCGATACATCCAGTCGATCATCGTTGACTTCGGGCCCCAGGTCTCTGCAAAAGATTCGAATTAAATGCGTTTCTCCAGATGAGACAAATAACCCCTTTTCACCTCCAGCATCCTCGATTACCTTAATGTAGTCGCAGTATTGCCGACTTTGGGTGTTTGTTATCTCTGATCTTCGTTCAATACTTCGCGCCTCTTCAAACTTATCGTCAAATACCCGATCGACTTGCAGCGTCAACTTCTTCAAGTTTGGGCATTTCTTAAGCACGAGAAAAGTCTGCTCCAGGGCGCGGGGTCCCGTAGAGGAATAACTGCCAAGATCGAGACTAGAGATCTGACGCCAAGAGCGCATACAGTCTGAATCCAGCGTCGACAATTCTAAAATATCGAGGTTCAGTTGGAAACTACTGACGTTGTTGCAGATACCTGCGCTCAGGACGTTGGGCTTGAAAACGCTACCCCTGTTGCCGCACATGCTTCCTCTTTGTCCGTCTCTATTGTCGTTCTCGAAGTAGACTGGTCTGAGGTATATTCTGAAGGTATTTCGCTTCCAGATGATGTCTGAGCATTCGTTGTAGATCTGCTTGTTTGTTCGGAGAAAGTCGAGGCGGAGGCTGGAGCGGAGTACAATATATTTCTTTTGGGCTTGGGTCTGAGGTCGTCGAGGCAGAATGTGCCGGTCGGTAGGTCGGCAAGGTGTCCGAAGATTTGGAGACGAATCTCAGCAGGGATTCCCATGAGAGAGAGCTCTGGGTACTTGATGGCTGGTTGTGCGGGTATGGTAGTGGTTGGTGGAGCGTTCGTCGTGATTGGCTCCTCTTCCCCGAAAAGTGATCCGAAGACTGCATCCTCGGTGTCGACGAAATTGGAGAAGGCAGTGCCTTCACTGTTGTGGTTGGCGAACATTTTAAGGGTTCGAGTTTGAGATTCTGAGGGTGTTGCAGTCTTGCTACGAGTTTGTCGTGTGGAGGTGGAGTGCGGCGTTGTAGCGTTAATTTGTCGCTTGGAACTTCGTGGATATTCGTGTGTGGAACTTGAATTGCAGGGCGGATGAAAGATGCGCGCTCGAGATTTGTTTATGAAGGTGAGTGTTGGTATTTTGGACTGCTGGTATTTGGATGGTAGGCTAGTGTAGCTTCTGCAACTAAGGTGGTAATGGCATCAGTCCATTTTATAATTGTAAGATTACCTAGGTATCTTAACTGCAACCCGCCTATCTCCATCGTTCTGCGTATGACTCACCGCCACTATGTCGATGGTGATCTTCTGGGAGCTACTTTGTATCTGATGTACTTGCACATGGTGGATCTGATGGGGCTGTCAGTTGGAGAGGAAAGATATTTTTTGATTGTTCCTACTATCCAACTCGTGATCGAGTCTAGGATCACTTGTAGTTACGAATGCATTCCAGATTAACTGCCGTGGCAGACGTTCAAGGCAGGATACTTCATTGCGCTAGTAACTCGAATAGCCCAGATATCCCCGGAGCTAATCTTGCATCGATTTCATGGGGAAGCACTTGAAAATATACCCGAGCACAGTTCCAATCTCCCAGATATCCTTGGAACAATGTCACGTTTTTGACCTCTCTCAGCTCCCCCAAAAGAGCTACTTAAAATTTGGATGGAAGCGCCTGAAAAGAGTCCAAGGACATCGAGTCTCCTAGGTGTCTTCGGGGCAATAGCATCTATGTAAAAGCTCTCGCAAAAATTAGGAGAATGCAAGTAAAAGGACCAGAGTGGTAATTGGAGCACATTGTATCGTTCGTTACTGTATTTAATTTCTGAGAATGGGGATTTGGGGTCGTATGAAAAAGTGAAATGGTCCGTGATTAGCCTCATTTATGAAAGTAAATACGTGGCATGGCAACGTCGATGCGATGTGCAACAAACGCCACATCGAGGATCCCACTTTAAACGAACAAAGGAAACACAATTGTCTGGGGTTCAAACGAGAAATTGAAGTGTTTGGAAACATGCATTGGTGGACAAAGGCATGGTACAGTGAAGTGAGTTGCGTTTTGACAAATGAACTTTCTGGTAACGGGTCACATTTCTGTCATTGCTTGTGAAACTCAAAAGTTCCAGAAAATGATATTAGGGGGAAAAAAACTCAGGGTATGTCGTTTCGACTTAAATGAATTATATATTCCTGATGTTCGAACAAACTTATGCTCTTATCTCGAGATTTTGGTCGAGACACGCGAAGGGGACCTCGCGATGTTCCGACAAAACCCCCACCAAAGTACCAGAAGATCAAGCACATTCATCAAAAGATAAATCAAAGAAAATACAAAACGTGCATCAAATTGCATGTACTTGTAAGTATATAACTGCTGCTTGAAGTCATGCCTTACGAGTATTATCAAAGTGCACCCAATGTAGGATATCGCACGGCTGCAGGGTTGCTTGCATGACATGAAAACGTGACAAACAAAGTATCGTATTTGATTTCAGAACAGAAAATGTACAGAGGTTAGAGGTAATTTGAAGAATGAATATCTTAGCCTATAGGCATCATTTGTCATTTGACAAATTCTGATACAGTGTTGTCTGCTTGAAGTAATGGTTTGCTAATGCCCCTCACTTTTCGTACTTTGGTGTCTCACTTTTGGCCCCCAAAGTGGGATGAACGAGTCAGAACGGCAATGCCTCAACACTAGCGGCCGCTACCCCCCTTTTGCCTCCAGAACTGCCGCCGACTGAGATGCTACCTGTATAAATTTAAATAAGCAGATTTTGCGCCAGGGTGACTTGGTAAGCAGCAAATCAAAAATCTTAAAAATTTAACAAAATTTAATAAATCTTTAGGCCGAGCGGTTATGGCGCTAGTTTCAGGAAATGACTAGAGTTTTTCTCTGGCTTTGAATTTACTAGTTCGAAAGAGCGTGGGTTCGAATCCCACAGTCATCAATCAATTCTTTTTTGCATTTCAAAGCTTTGAAAAGAAGTTATATACGGCCTGATTTTGATTTGGAAGCATTTAGACGATTTTATTTTTTATTTCATTGCCCCTTAAAATATGGGGAGCTATTTTACACTAGCGCGGCGGCGGTAAGCTAAGCCAAAGCTCGGCAAATCTTCGGTACTACCGGCTCAACACGTGTTAGAATGGGCAAGAAGCATGTTCGAACCAGGCAGGCTCTGTCGAACTAGTAAATTCAAAGCCAGGGAAAAACTCTAGCCATTTCCCGAAACTAGCGCCATAACCGCTCGGCCTACATTCTTCAACAAAAGAAGCTATTCAGAGACTCAATTACGTGTGTTGTGCTGTGCCAAGCCACAACTCGCCAAAGAAATCCATCGGCGTTCACAAGACCAAACCCGGCGCCGCTAAGCCCCTTCCAGCCGCTCTAGGATGTGTCAAAACCAAGCACGAGGACGACCGGTGTGCTTCCTCGACCTTCAATTGCGCCCAAATGAATGATCTCGTGGCCTCTTTCCTCTCATCTCTTCCATTGATGCGAACCTAGATGTCTTCATTATTTCCTCCTTGAGTTCGGAGTTGTCTGCTTCTTGGAACCCACTTTTCCTACTTTATTAATACGATGTTCGGTGCGACTAGACTTCCATTGCTCCTCCTATGCGCCATATCGCTGGTGCTGGGCACATTTATGAAAGAGCAGCACCCTCTACTCGGGGATGATGGACAGAAGCCTCTGCCAGGCAAGCCCAAGTCACGAAGCACTCTGCCAGCCTTGCTCGACGCGCTGGACGTGTTGCAAGCAGACTACTTCGAGGTCTGGCAGGGTATTTGGCCGACATCAATTGATTGGACTTCTGCTGTCATAGGAACCTACCTCTCCTCCGCGATCATCACACTATCGGGCTCGTATCCAGCTTTCCCCTCTTCGAAAGTTGCCGATAATACGGTCAATAAATACTTCTCGAATCTCATTGGTGCATATTTTGGGCAGGATGCATTTGCTTTGCGACAAGAGGCATACGACGATATGTTATGGGTGGTTTTGGGCTGGCTGGAGACCGTAAAGTTCATCGGTGCACACTCAGAATTGCATTATGGGACGGACGATGACTCGAGGCTGGCAGGCCCATGGTATGGTCATCAATGGGTTCCAGCATTTGCACATAGAGCACGAATTTTCTGGGATATGGCATCGCAGGGTTGGGACACTTCACTTTGCAATGGCGGCATGATATGGAATCCATACTTGGTCCCTTACAAGAACGCCATCACGAACGAACTTTACATTACGGCATCCATTTCTATGTACCTATATTTTCCGGGCGATGACAATACATCCCCATTTGGATTTACGACACCTCCGACTCCCCAAGATATCGACAGCCCGAATCGACCCCACCATCCCAAATACTTGGCCGCAGCAATTGAGGCATACAAGTGGTTGGGAGATAGCAACATGACAGATGCGAAAGGGCTGTATGTTGATGGCTACCACATCTCGGGCTGGTCGCGAGAACGGCCAAAGAACGAATCGAATACTCGATGCGATGCTCGTAACGAGATGGTGTATACATACAATCAGGGTGTTTTGCTGTCAGGCCAGCGTGGTCTCTACGAAGCTACAGGCGCTCGATCATATCTCGAGGATGGTCATCAACTTGTCTCAAACGTCATTGCTGCCACTGGGTGGGATTTGAAGCATGGAAAAGCTCTCGACGAGGACGAGGCTGACAAGCCGAGACACAGACTTGGCAAGTGGCGAGGACTTGGCCGCTCTGGTGTCATGGAAGAAGCCTGCGATGCTGAAGGATACTGCTCTCAGGACGGGCAAACCTTTAAAGGCATCTTCTTCCACCATCTCACACTCTTCTGTGAGCGATTGCCTGATCATCTTGTACTGCCTGGAGAGCTATTCCTCAGCAAGAATGTCGAGGACATCCCTGGAGGTCCACAAGAGGTACAAAAATGGCACGACAAGGAATGTGCTCGATATGGCCCATGGATCAAGCACAACGCCAAAGCTGCTGTCTCAACTCTCGATCACGAGGGCAAATTCGGGATGTGGTGGGGTGCTCCACCACATTCCACTGCTGATCCGGACGCTGAGGTCGATTTGCCTCGACAGGCAGTTGACTCTCGGAATCAAGGTGTGCCACAAGAGTGGAAGAACAAGAGGAGGTATTTACGAAAGACACATGAGGATGATGAAGACGATGCACATGATGACGATAACGAAGGAAAGATCAGGATTCGTGATCTCAATGATAGAGGAAGAGGTCGCACGGTAGAGACACAAGGCGGTGGCATTAGCGTGCTGAGAGCCATGTTGGAGCTTGTAGATACCAGATGAGCGAACGGGCTGCTGGATTTACATATGCTCTCTTTTGCGCGTCTTCTTGAGGGCATTGTACTTCTCACCCACATCGTCTGCGATGGATCGGTGCATTGGATTTTCAAGGCGTTTTGGCATTTGGTAGATCTTGAAGCAATTCAGATTATATTACCTAACATGACTTTTCTCTTTGATTTGCGTTCAGATTGTTGGCTCTGTATCTCGACTTTCAAGAATGGTAGTCCAGATCCTAATGATAGAAATCGAGGATCAAGTAAATACTTATATTGATTATCAACTTCGGTATCTTAGGTTCCAAATCATGACCTTTGAGAAGGAAAAGTTGTTGCCTACTAATGGAAAAATTTAACAGCTCAAAGAAAATCTCTGGCAATTATTTATATTACCTATCCTCCAATCCTCAAAAATTTTACTAATTGTATTTCATGACTTGTCCTCTTGAAAACTCGTCTCCTAACCAAGGACTTTCGAAAAAAAATTTACTGTTTTCGCCCTCGCAATATCTTTTAATGTATCTCGTAATTTACTATTTTTCCAAATAAGAAGTCTTCTCGTTATTTGGGACATTCTAATGAACTACCTTCATTAGTATACCACTCAGCCTATTTTATTCCTTTACTCAAATTCTTAAAAACCTTTTTCGTCCCAATCCTAGTTCAAACTTTTCCTCCTTTAAAGTCGCTACTTAAACTGGGATAATTCAAAGGACTTAGCTATTGAGCGTTATATTTCAGCCTTTTCGTCGTCTCTTGGCTCTTTAAAATCTCTTCAATTCCAATTTGCGATATTTGCTTCTGAAAAGCCCTCTTGCAATCGGGGACATTCTGGGGAACCTGTCTCATCGTCATCACGTGGCCTCCACCCACCTCGTCAACTCGCGCTAGTGCAAGCGAATAGGGGCATAAAAAGACATCTCCTCCCTCGATCTTCCTCTTCTCCTTCGCAATCTCCAACAACTGCCCCGACCTCGACCTCACCCCAGACCATACGACACCACACCCAGATCGTCCCTGCCGACCCCGGACACTCGCAATCGCAACGGCGCAACCGCAAGCTAAGAAGCAGAAGATGGACAATGCGGGCTCTGCCGGATCAGCGATCGTCTTCACGAAGGGCAGTCGCAAAACCGATTTGTGCTTCACTGTCTTCAACCAAGAATTCCACATCAACTCCGATGTTCTGAAAATGAACTGCGACTTCTTCGAGACCTTCCTCAACCCCACTGGTGGAATTCTGCCCTCCTCGACCAACCCTGCCTTCAAAAGCGAGTGGTTCACGCGTCTTGAGGATAAGATTGGAAATACCAACACCTTTGCATCTTGGTTATTGACTTCTGATCACACTGTAGGTGCAAATCAACCCTCATGTTTCAAACTTAGAGGCTCTGGGACTGATATCCACCTTCCACTCTAGCATTGTAAAGCCGATCTGTCCAAGTTCGTGGGCGGTTGCCACCATGAAGTGAAGACCTTCCAAAACTTCCTCTGCGCCATCTTCGGACGGAACTACCAACTCGACAATGCCGCTGAGCTAACCTCACTTACAGATATGGCACGCTATTACGCTGCTCTGCCGACGGTCTCCGCAACAGTCTATGCAGCCGTGCTTCGAAGCCCCTTCTTCGCTGACAGCATGCTCTTGAATCCTTGCAGCGTCCTTTTATCTGCAAAGACTTTGAGAAATGTTCTTCTGTTCAAGGACAGTCTCGTCCTCTCCATTGGACCCTGGTCGGCTCCTCAATACAAGGGAATGTCTGACCCTGATCTTGTTCGGATTGCCAACTCAGCCCGCGCCAACGTCTGTGCTATTCTCGAGGAAGCTTAGCAAGGTGTAATAAGCGCCCTGGCTCAACACAAGAGAGGCAAATACGGCGTAGCCGGGATCCATGACAAGGATTGGACCTCCCCTGGTGAACAGATGTCTGAAGTCGCAATCGCGTGCACGAAGCCCGCTCGCGGCATATACCAGGAAGTACTCTCATACAAGGCTCTCATGCCAGCTTACTACCGAGGTTGTCTGAGTATCCCTTTCTTTCCAGCTAAAATGGGATCTGAAATACAACAAATTCTTAACCCTCTGTTAGTGAACCAATTGAAGTTGATCCCCAGTGCAGTGGCAGGAGTCGACAAGTTCAAGTACTACTTTCTCTGCCTGGATATCACTGACGACACTTTACCATGGGATCGGAGCGAGGACGAGTGGTATATTTGAGGTGAGGTACAGCACAGCAAGCTATTAAGGCAGTTTCGAGGTTCGGGTTTTCAGTGCTCAACTGAGCGTGGTAGATCCACTTCTTGAGCACTTGTCATCTGCTCAAAGCTGTTACTTCATTCTCTCTAGCGTTGCTTTCTTTGGCAGCATGGGCTTATAGTGTATAACACTTTCATGCCGCTCTCGGCGTTGTTAGTACCAAATAGCAACAATTTGGAGTATCCCAGTGATCGTGTCCTTCACGGACATTGTCACGTTGGGTACCCTAAGATGGTTATCAGGTTCATGCTGCTTTCTACACATAACTCAGATAGACATTCTACTTCTTCACGTTGCTTTCAAAAATAAATGGGGGCTTTCAACGATTTAAACTTCCTAACATGATACTGTGCCTCTAGTGATATGAGCTCGAGGTGGTGTTTT